TATATATATATATATATATATATATATATATATATATATATAATATATATATATACATATATATGTAACAGGCCGCCTAGTGTCTAATCGACATGTGCCTAGGACAAAATGTTAATTAACACACGTGAAGTATGATAAAGCTCATAGAGCAGGAAGAGGACCTACTAGCGACCAGTGAAGAGGTGGGGCCAGGAGCTATGAATCGACCCCTGCAATCACAATTAAGGAAGTACAGTTGAGTACACATACACACGAGATAAATATACATCAGAATATATTCGAAGTTGTCCGTGGTTCAATTCTCCGCACGGGTGGTAACATTGGGTATGTTTCCTTACACCTGCTGTCCCTGTTCACCTAGCAGTAGGTAAGTAGGTGCCTGGGTAGGTAGTTGTTGGGAACTCATATCTCCACACCAGCCTTGACGGGGAACGGGTGAGAGACATTCGTGCCCTTGCACTTAGATTGTCAGGAGGCAGATGTGGGGATTCATGCTGCTGCCCCTACCTTTCAAGAGGTAGATGTGGGCATTCATGCTGCTGCATTTACCTTTCAAGAGGCATATCTAGGAAATTCATGCTTCCGTACCCATCCTGTCAAGAATTAGGCATGGAGGACTTGCGCCCCCACCCCCGTGGGTTCTTTCCATGCTGCAGGATTTGATAAAATAACAGCCCCGAGGCCGCTAACTTTGCGAGAGCATAATTCCATCAGTTTTCCATCAAATTTCGTTTTTTTTGGTGTCATTACAATCGGAAAAAGATTCTCATCATTTCATAAGAAAAAATAATTTTTTTTTTTATTTTTTAAATTTTGCGACACCAGGAGACACCTCAGAATAGGGGGTTGCGACAGTCAAAGGGTTAAAAAGTAATGTAATAGCATGTGAAAGGACATGGGCTGCTCGCTTGTACAATAATGGTGGGATTTGAGACAGATTCCCCGAGTTATTTTTAAGTGACTTTATGATCGCGGTGACTTCCGTGGGCTCAGTTGGTACAAGATAGAAGGAATTTGGGAAATTCCCATCTAGGTAGTCCCCGGCACGGGCATTGGTACGTGGGATTTTACTGGCGAGATTAGATCCTATGTTTGAGAAAAAGTCGTTTATCTTGTTAGCTGTATCAGTGGGATGCAGTGGTGTTTCATGAGGTTTAGTTACAACAATATTCTTGTTTTTTTTTTTTTGGGGGGGGTCCCCAGAATTGGGAAAGTGTTTTCCAGGTCTTTTTTATATCTCCTCTTGTGTCAGTGAATCTGCTGGAGTAGTACAGTTGTTTGGCTTCCTTTATTAATTTGGTGAGAACTGTGAATATTGTTTAAAAATATCTTTGTGTATTAAGCCCTGTCTATATTGCTTTTCATATTGGTGTTTCTTATCAAGGGATTTCAGAATGCTGTGGTTAGTCTTTGGGCAACCAAGCCGTTTATTTGTGATCTGTTTCGTTTTTGTAGGACAATGTTTGTTGTATGGGTCAAAGTATTTTGTTAAGAAAAATATCTGTCCAATCGTCAATACCATTGGCATTGGAGAATTCAGTAGGCCAGTCAACAATCTCTAGGTCTGCTGTGAAATTCCTTATTGAGGCCCTCGTCATGGAGTCTAAATGAAACTTTGTTGTATTCGAGTGGTGGCTTACTAATGTTTGTTAAGAGGAAGGTTGGGTAGGGTCAGTGGGTGCTGTCTGTGATTATCCCTGATTTAAGGGGGGGCTAGTATATTGGTCCATATGTGGTCTATTATGGTTGCATTTGTCTCAGTCTGCCTGGGTAGTTTAGTTATTGTTGGTATGAGAAGTGTGTTGTTCATATTGTTGATGAAATCACTTACAGTCTGATCATCTGGTAGGCCAAGGTTGATATTGAAGTCTCCAGCTAAGAGGTGGTGCTTGTTCATTTGTCTGTTATTAGTGAACTTTAGATTCTCACTAAATTTTTGGGGATGTTTGTGTGGGATATCCGGTATTATGGCACCGATTGTTATAGGCGTCTTGAGGTTTTTTACAGTAAAATTAGCAAAAATTTATTCCCCATATTCATCACTAAAGCAATTAGTGCTAATACAAGATAGTTGGTTAGAGTATAGATTGCAGTACCACCCCCAACTTGGTATGGTCTGCAGTTGTGGATTGCTGTGTATCCTGGTATTTGGGTAGATATCTATTGTGTCCTGCTTAAGCCAGGTCTCAGTAAGAATAATGCAGGAAAAGGGGTTTGTCTTTAGTGACTCAAGGAGTGCCAAGGAGGTCATCATAGTGTTTGCTTAAGGACCTGATGTTGTAGTTAAGAAATGATAGACTTTGAGCAGTGTTCAGGATATTTGCTGGGCTTGTGATGCTGTGAAATAAAGGCGGGTTACTTTCCAATAAATTTTTAATTGTGTGTTAGATTATGGGGGTTTAGATCAGGGTCAACGTGATCATTCATCTTGTAGGTTTAAAATAGTGGTTGTTTATTTCCTGTATTAGTGGTGAGTTCTAAACCTGATTTCTGTAGTGGTGGGAGGTTTGGATAGGTATACCGCTAAAGCACTTTGGTCATATAGAGTATAGTCACTAATAAACATAATGAAATTGATATTGTCTATGTGTTGTGCTGGAATAAGCTAAAGTACAACTAGGTATAAACTAATACTATAAAAAAAAAAAAATTACAAGTGGCACCAGACTCACTCATTGTAATTGCACTAAGGTCTAATATAATGAATTTAGTGTTGTCTATTTTATTGAGCTAGAATGAGCTAAAGTACAACTAGGTATACAGTTAGTTTAGGTGTTGTCTATGTATTGAGCTAGAATGAGCTAAAGTACAACTAGGTATAAACTTATATAAAAATACAAATTTTAAAATGGTACTTGCATATTGCACTAGGGTCTGATATAGGTTGTTAACAAGATCAAGAGTATAACTAGATTTAAATTGACAAAATAAAATTCACAAATTAAAGTACCAAAAGAATAATAAGAAAAAATAACAATGGCAATGACTTGGTTATAATATGATAGTAAGATGGTAGACAGGTAGACAGGTACAAAGGATAATATAAAGGTTGGAGTTGAATATACAAACTTGAAAATTTGGCAACAATATGTTATGAAAAGTTTAAAATAATGATTAATGTACAAAAGTAAAATTGACTGGTAGTAAATATGGTGTGTAATAAAATTTTAGTAAGTAATAATGATTACAAAAAAAGATTAATTTGCAAAAAAAAAAAAAAAGTGAAAAAGTAATGTTTATTTCAAGTATTAAATTTTAAGAACAGTTATTTGGATTCAGTATTGCACTGGTAGTTATACTAGAGGTTATTTGGCAGTACAAGGTATTTAAGAGTACTCTAAGATAGTAAATGTGGTATTAAAACAGGTTATGGTAATTAGACAAGTAATGGTAATTAAATGATGTCAAAAATGTTAAGAGTAAATTGTACTGATAGTAAAAATGGTAACTAATTATTAATTTTATTGGATCACTACGACAAGGTCCTAGATGCACTAGAAGACAAAAAGAATGCAGATGTAATATATACAGACTTTGCAAAAGCCTTCGACAAGTGTGACCATGGCGTAATAGCGCACAAAATGCGTGCTAAAGGAATAACAGGAAAAGTCGGTCGATGGATCTATAATTTCCTCACTAACAGAACACAGAGAGTAGTAGTCAACAGAGTAAAGTCCGAGGCAGCCACGGTGAAAAGCTCTGTTCCACAAGGCACAGTACTCGCTCCCATCTTGTTCCTCATCCTCATATCTGACATAGACAAGGATGTCAGCCACAGCACCGTGTCTTCCTTTGCAGATGACACCCGAATCTGCATGACAGTGTCTTCCATTGCAGACACTGCAAGGCGCCAGGCGGACATCAACCAAATCTTTCAGTGGGCTGCAGAAAACAACATGAAGTTCAACGATGAGAAATTTCAATTACTCAGATATGGTAAACACGAGGAAATTAAATCTTCATCAGAGTACAAAACAAATTCTGGCCACAAAATAGAGCGAAACTCCAACGTCAAAGACCTGGGAGTGATCATGTCGGAGGATCTCACCTTCAAGGACCATAACATTGTATCAATCGCATCTGCTAGAAAAATGACAGGATGGATAATGAGAACCTTCAAAACGAGGGATGCCAAGCCCATGTAACAGCACCTTTCAAGGCAGGTGAAATTGCTGACCTAGAAAATGTACAGAGAACCTTCACTGCGCGCATAACAGAGATAAAACACCTCAATTACTGGAAGCGCTTGAGGTTCCTGAACCTGTATTCCCTGGAACGCAGGCGGGAGAGATACATGATTACATACACCTGGAAAATCCTAGAGGGACTAGTACCGAACTTGCACACGAAAATCACTCACTACGAAAGCAAAAGACTTGGCAGACGATGCAACATCCCCCCAATGAAAAGCAGGGGTGTCACTAGCACATTAAGAGACCATACAATAAGTGTCAGGGGCCCGAGACTGTTCAACTGCCTCCCAGCATACATAAGGGGAATTACCAACAGACCCCTGGCAGTCTTCAAGCTGGCACTGGACAAGCACCTAAAGTCTGTTCCTGATCAGCCGGGCTGTGGCTCGTACATTGGTTTGCGTGCAGCCAGCAGTAACAGCCTGGTTGATCAGGCTCTGATCCACCAGGAGGCCTGGTCACAGACCGGGCCGCGGGGGCGTTGACCCCCGGAACTCTCTCCAGGTAAACTCCAGGTATCCTGTGCTCCGGGGTATTGGAAACAATGCTCAGCTTCGGCTAGGAGCCCATACTTACCAGGGGTCTGTCTGACTGTGGCAAAATTACTGTGTACATCGACTCCAGGCTGAGGGACTGATTACTTCGAATTCTTTCTGATCTTCATCATTCTTCTCTGTATAGGACTGATGAAGCCACTGTGTGGCGAAACGTTTCCTCAGTAAAGATACCCAAGTGTTGCACATGTGTCTAATTTGCCAAGTTGTCGGTTATCTGAACCATTATCAACAACGTTTATTTTCGTTGCAGGTGTAGGAATGATGCTGAGGAAGCTGGGTCAGACCAGCAAGCCCACGGTGGAGTTCATAGAGAATAATGGGGAATGGACCTTAAAGACCACCACCACACTGAAGACCACGGAACTGAAGTTTAAACTTGGCCAAGAAGTTGATGAATCTACCTTCGACGGCAGAGATTGTAAGGTGCGTGAGTGGTGGTACTGGTGGAATGGTGGTGGTACTGTTGGAATGGTGGTGGTACTGTTGGAATGGTGGTGGTACTGGTGGAATGGTGGTGGTACTAGTGGAATGGTGGTGGTACTGGTACTGGTGGAATGGTGGTACTGGTGGAATAGTGGTGCTACTGGTGGAATGGTGGTACTGGTGGAATGGTGGTGGTACTGGTGGAATGGTGGTGGTACTGGTGGAATGGTGGTGGTACTGTTGGAATGGTGGTGGTACTGTTGAAATGGTGGTACTGGTGGAATGGGGTGGATAGGGGAATGGGGTGGTACTGGTACGGGTGGAATGGTGGTGGTACTGGTGGAATAGTGGGGGTTTACTGGGGGAATGGTGGTACGGGTGGAATGGTGGGGGTTTACTGGTGGAATGGTGGTACTGGTGGAATGGTGGTGGTACTGGTGGAATGGTGGTGGTACTGTTGGAATGGTGGTGCTGGTGGAAAGGTGGTGGTACTGGTGGAATGGTGGTGGTACTGTTGGAATGGTGGTGGTACTGTTGGAATGGTGGTGGTACTGGTGGAATGGTGGTGGTACTAGTGGAATGGTGGTGGTACTGGTACTGGTGGAATGGTGGTACTGGTGGAATAGTGGTGGTACTGGTGGAATGGTGGTACTGGTGGAATGGTGGTGGTACTGGTGGAATGGTGGTGGTACTGTTGGAATGGTGGTGGTACTGTTGGAATGATGGTGGTACTGGTGGAATGGTGGTGGTACTAGTGGAATGGTGGTGGTACTGGTAATGGTAGAATGGTGGTGGTACTGGTGGAATAGTGGTGGTACTGGTGGAATGGTGGTACTGGTGGAATGGTGGTGGTACTGGTGGAATGGTGGTGGTACTGTTGGAATGGTGGTGGTACTGGTGGAAGGGTGGGGGTTTACTAGTGGAATGGTGGTGGTACTGGTACGGTGGAAGGGTTTGGTACTGGTGGAAATGTGGTGGTACTGGTGGAATGGTGGTACTGGTGGAATGGTGGTGGTACGGTGGAATGGTGGGGGGACTGGTGGAAGGGTTGGTGGTACTTTTGGGAATGGTGGGGGTACTGTTGGAATGATGGTGGTACTGGTGGAATGGTGGTGGTACTAGTGGAATGGTGGTGGTAACAGGTAATGGTAGAATGGTGGTGGTACTGGGGGAATAGTGGTGGTACTGGGGGAATTTGGTGGTAACTGGTGGAATGGTGGTGGTACTGGTGGAATGGTGGTACTGGTGGAATGGTGGTGGTACTGGTGGAAGGGTGGTGGTACTGTTGGAATGGTGGTGCTGGGGGAAAGGTGGTTGGTACTGGGGGAAATGGTGGTGGTACTGTTGGAATGGTGGTGGTACTGGTACTGGTGGAATGGTGGTGATACTGTTGGAATGGTGGTGGTTACTGGTGGAATGGTGGGGTACTGGGGGAATGGTGGTGGTCCCGGGTGGAATGGTGGTGGTACTGTGGGAATGGTTTTGGTACTGGAGGAATGGTGGTGGTACTGGTGGAATGGTGGTGGTACTGTTGGAATGGTGGTGGTACTGTTGGAATGGTGGTGGTACTGGTGGAATGGTGGTGGTACTGGTGGAATGGTGGTGGTACTGGTGGAATGGTGGTGGTACTGGTGGAATGGTGGTGGTACTGGTAGAATGGTGGTGGTACTGGTGGAATGGTGGTGGTACTGGTGGAATGGTGGTGGAAACTGGTTGGAATGGTGGTGGTCCCTGGTGGAATGGTGGTGGTACTGGTGGAATGGTGGGGGTTACTGGTGGAATGGTGGTGGTACGGTGGAATGGTGGTGGTACTGGTGGAATAGGGGTTTGATACTGGGAATGGTGGGGGCACTGGTGGAATGTTGGTGGTACTGGTGGAATGGTGGTGGTACTGGTGGAATGGTGGTGGTACTAGTGGAATGGTGGTGGTACTGTTGGAATGGTGGTGGTACTGGTGGAATGGTGGTGGTACTGTTGGAATGGTGGTGGTACTGGGGGTGGTACTGGTGGAATGGTGGTGGTACTGGTAAAGGTTGTGGTACGGTGGAATGGGGGTGGTACTGGTGGAAGGGTGGTGGTACTAGGGGAATGGTGGTACTGGTGGAATGGTGGTGGTACTGGTGGAATGGTTGTGGTACTGGTGGAATGGTGGTGGTACTGGTGGAATGGTGGTGGTACTGGTGGAATGGTGGTGGTACTGGTGGAATGGTGGTGGTACTAGTGGAATGGTGGTGGTACTGTTGGAATGGTGGTGGTACTGGTGGAATGGTGGTGGTACTGTTGGAATGGTGGTGGACGGGTGGAATGGGGTGGTACTGTGGAATGGTGGTGGTACTGTGGAATGGTTGTGGTACTGGTGGAATGGTGGTACTGGTGGAATGGTGGTGGTACTGGTGGAATGGTGGTGGTACTAGTGGAATGGTGGTGGTACTGTTGGAATGGTGGTGGTACTGGTGGAATGGTGGTGGTACTGGTGGAATGGTGGTGGTACTGGTGGAATGGTGGTGGTACTGGTGGAATGGTGGTGGTACTGGTGGAATGGTTGTGGTACTGGTGGAATGGTGGTACTGGTGGAATGGTGGTGGTGCTGGTGGAATGGTGGTACTGGTGGAATGGTGGTGGTATTGGTGGAATGGTGGTGGTCTGGGGGAATGGTGGGGGTACGGGGTGGAATGGTGGTGGTACTGGTGGAATGGTGGTGGTACTGGTGGAATGGTGGTGGTGCTGTTGGAATGGTGGTGGTGCTGGTGGAATGGTGGTACTGGGGGGAATGGTGGTGGTATTGGTGGAATGGTGGGGGGTAGGGTGGAATGGTGGTGGTATTGGTGGAAGGTGGGTGGTAATTGGTGGAATGGTGGTGGTACTGGTGGAAGGGTGGTGGTACGGGTGGAATGGAGGTGGTACTGGTGGAATGGTGGTGGTACGGGGGAAATGATGGTGGTACTGGGGGGAATGGTGGTGGTACTGGTGGAATGGAGGTGGTACTGGTGGAATGGAGGTGGTACTGGTGGAATGGTGGTGGTACTGGTGGAATGATGGTGGTACTGGTGGAATGGTGGTGGTACTGGTGGAATGGTGGTGGTACTGGTGGAATGGAGGTGGTACTGGGGGAATGATGGTGGTACTGGTGGAATGATGGTGGTACTGGTGGAATGGTGGTGGTACTGGTTGAATGGTGGTGGTACCCACTTTACTGATGGGGAACATAGACAACCGATGTAAGGACACACCCAATGTTTCTACCCTCGCTGGGAATTGAACCCGGGACCTCACCTTGTGAAGTGAGAGGTTTAACCACCAGGTCACGGGGCACCATAACACCCAGGTATGTACCTACTTGCTTGCTAATTGAACGAGACAGCAGGTGTAAGGATACATGCCCAATATTTCCACCCATATCAGGGATGGAATCATAGACACTCAGTGTGAGGCGAAAGCGTTGTTAACCAAGCAACAGTGTAAGTGTGAGGTGCATAATTGTAAAGTGTGATAGTACTTGGACAGGTTAGGTTAGGTTCCGGGCTACCACTGTAAAGTGAAACATAACCAATTTTTCACTTTAAAATACATATAAAAGCATGATAACATATTTACACTATCATATATTAAGTGAGCTAGGCCTAAAAAATGCATATACAGTACACACATTACTTATCTTAAAATATTTCTGTTCTTAGTTTATAGAGAGTGGTGAAAATATTTATTGTACGAAGTCTGAATAAATGAAGAATGGGTATAGTAATTGAAAACCACTGCATTAGCGAAATGCCATAAAGTGAAGTGCTGTAAAATGGGGCCTACCGGTATAAGTCGGAGGCCTTGGTTGTGATGGATAGTGGTGACATCAGTGTGATGTGTGTCATTGTGATGGTGGCAGGGTGGGGGTGAGGTAATGGAAATGGTGATAGTGGTTTATGGTGATAATGATAGTTGGTGGTAGTGGTGGTGTTGGAGATGTTCATATACATCTTAGCTTAGCCACCTTTGGTGCCTCAAACCCTCAAATTCATTCGAATTCATTTTTTTCACCACCATTCACTACCCGGAGCTATTCCATATTACAATTATATGAGGTTACCTACATTTGCACTTCAAATCTATATCAAATCTGTTTTGAGCTAACACCACTCACATTGTGAATGGTGGCATGACCACTCTAAGCAAAGAAAAAAACTCTCATTTGATGAACAAAGTATTGAAAGGACACCATGAGCATAGCTCTGCTCCATTAGCTACAAATAGGTAATTACCAATAGGTAATTACTGGGGGCTTTATAAAGTATGTGGTAAAACCCCCAGTGAGTGCAATTTTGTATAAATGGAAGGTTGTTTGTTATACATACATGTCTTCCTATCACCACACATTTCTCAGAATGTCTCCATTTAGCGTCCTAGCTCGATGTTTTATGCTGCCACACTAACAGTTTTCAACTGTCCATTAGGGTGATGTAAACATTTTATGCACTTCCTTAGACTCATCCCTTCCTGTCTGTGATGAAATAGCATATTGCTGATAGGTATGTAAACAAAAGCAAAGTTCCTGAGCAATACTTTACTGGGACAACATTTTGATGTGTGTAGAGCTTGTTAGACATGACAAAGTTCTACAGAGCAAAACGTTTTCCCAATAAAAATACGTTCTGCAACCTGTCTTTGTCTTCATACCTACACATGTTCCACAGGCACCCACCCACAACACTGAACCAGCATTTCATGAAAAAAAATGTTTAACTTCGCATCTCAGTCACTTTACCAACAATCTTAAGTCACAGTTAAAACCCAATGCTTGTACAGACAGATGGTTCTGTTATCAGTCCACAGTTTACTCTGTGCGACTCTTTGATAGTACAAATTCCTATCAAATGCCGTCCAGTCTTTTAAGTCTATGCACTGTATTTTGTTGAAATAAAGTTTGTACACACAGGATATTAAATTCATCAACACCACACCACCAATCACTAGACTGAAACACTACCACACAGTATTCACCTAATTCCTGGTACTCAGGGCTTCAAAAATTGTGTTGATGCCTCATGCAGCAAATTCTAAAGACTCTGGGCTCCCCACAGACGGTGTTCACCCTGGAGGGAGACAAGCTGATTCAGGTGCAGACAGCAGTCAAGGGCAAGAGTGCCAAGTATACCAGGGAATTCACAGACACGCAAATGATCATGGTAAGTCCAAAGCTTCCCGAGTTCACAGACACACAAATGATTAGAGTAGGGGTCGGTAACCTATGGCCCGTGGACTGGATCCAGCCAACATGGCCATGGCTCAAATGATGTTAAATATATGTCAAAGTTTAGCATGTATTATATTTTTTTTTTAACAAGTTGGCCGTCTACCACTAAGGCAGGGTGACCCAAAAAGAGAGAAAATCCCCAAAAAGAAAATACTTTCATCATTCAACACTTTCACCTCACTCATACATAATCACTGTTTTTGCAGAGGTGCCCAGAACACAACAGTTTAGAAGCATATATGTATAAAGATACACAACATATCCCTCCAAACTGCCAATATTCCAAACCCCTCCTTTAAAGTGCAGGCATTGTACTTCCCATTTCAGTTTCCCTGAATCCCTTCACTAAATATTACCCTGCTCACACTCCAACAGCTCGTCAGGTCCCAAATACCATTGGGTCTCCATTCACTCCTATCAAACACGCTCACGCACGCTTGCTGGAAGTCCAAGCCCCTCGCCCACAAAACCTCCTTTACCCCCTCCCTCCAGCCTTTTCAAGGACGACCCCTACCCCGCCTTCCTTTCCCTACAGATTTATACACTCTCCATGTCATTCTACTTTGATCCATTCTCTCTAAATGACCAAACCACCTCAACAACCCCTCTTCGGCCCTCTGACTAATACTTTTACTAACTCCACACCTTCTCCTAATTTCCACACTCCAAATTCTCTACATAATATTTACACCACACATTGCCCTTAGACAGGACATCTCCACCGCCTCCAACCGTCTCCTCGCTGCAGCATTTACAACCCAAGCTTCACACCCATATAAGAGTGTTGGTACCACTATACTTTCATACATTCCCTTCTTTGCCTCCATAGATAACGTTTTTTGTCTCCACATATCCCTGTGTACACCACTCACCTTTTTTTCTTCATCAGTTCTATGGTTAACCTCATCCTTCATACATCCATCCGCCTGACACATCAACTCCCAAATACAGTGGACCCCCGCATAACGATGGCATCACATAGCGATTATTTCGCATACCGCTTACTTTAATTGCAAAAATTTTGCCTCACATACCGCTTAAAAACCCGCTTACCGATTTTCGTCCGAGACGCGTCCAATGTGCGGCCTGAGCCACGCTCACATGTTCCGCCGGTGGCATTGTTTACCAGCCAGCCTCCGCTGTAACATCCAAGCATACAATCGGAATATTCGTATTATTACAGTGTTTTCGTGCTTTTTCTGGAAAATAAGTGACCATGGGCCCCAAGAAAGCTTCTAGTGCCAACCCTACAGCAATAAGGGTGAGAATTACAATAGAGATGAAGAAAAAGATCATGATAAGTATGAAAGTGGAGTGCATGTCTCCGAGCTGGCCAGGTTGAAATAAAAAACCCAATCAACCATCGCTACTATTGTGTTACAGCTGCTGCTGCTGTTTGCCGTCAGCTGCTCTGCGCTGTAGCACCGTTTTTTGGTGTGGCTTATTGAGAATACCAAGAAACAATTAACCCCAGAGGATTTGCCACCCAGATAACCCAAAAAATTTCAGTGCATCGAAGACAGTCTAACTTATTTCCATTGGGGTCCTTAATCTTGTCTCCCAGGATGCAACCCACACAAGTCGACTAACACCCAGGTGAACAGGGAAAAATGCCTGGAACTAGTGCTCATATTGGTAAATTTTAAAAAAGCCACCCAAAGGTTGGTTTGAGAGATTAAGAATCGTAGTGGCATACACAGTGTGATAAGGCCTGTTCTGGAAAAAAAATGCCAAACAGGACCTCCCAGTACTCAGGAGAAAAGGCACTCCCAGGACACAGTGTCTCATCAGCATTGCTGCATCTTCAATAAAGGTAAGTGTCATTTATTCCTTCATTTAGTAGACTAGTACATGCACAATATATACTGTGCATGTACTACTCTACTATTGTCATGTACCCTTCTCTTTGTGTGTGGGAAAATGTATATTTCATGTGTAAAATTTTTTTTTTTTCATACTTTTGGGTGTCTTTGCACGGATTAATTTGATTTCCATTATTTCTTATGGGGAAAATTCTTTCACATAGCGATTATTTCGCATAACAATTACCCCTCTTGCACGATTAAAATCGTTAACCGGGGGTCCACTGTATCTGAAAACATTCACTTCTTTGATATCCAATTTTTCTATTTATTAACTATGGCGATAGGTGTGGCAAGCCATCCGCTCAGAGACATAGGCTCTATCCCCTAGACAGAACAAGGTTGCCAATCCCTGGATTAGAGCAATGCTAAAGCTTCCCGAGTTCTCAGACAAATGAGCAATTCACAGACATAGTAAGTCCAAAGCCTCTTCTCACTTCCAGATATTATCATCCAGTAACTCATTCATTTACTTATTATAAATCCATGTCCATATTATTAAATCCTACTTCAAAAGCATGTACCGGTAGTTATTGTGTAAATATAATCAAAATACATGTCATGTAGTTTTTTGGTAGCTGGAAAAACTTGTGTATACAGTGCAAGGCATGGTGCTGAATGAGCACTGAATGGACCAATGTCTTGCTTTCATATGGAGTTTGGATAATAACTTTAAAAAAAGTGTATTTTTTGAGAAAACTCACCTGAGTAAAAGTTCTAAATGCAGATTCGTTCTGCTGTGTCTGTTCTTCTAAAATATTCTGCAGATGCATGAGGACAGAACTAAAAGTAGGTGTAGCAACTGGAGATGGTGTCAGAGGTAGGAAGGGCCCGCTAATGGAAGTAAATCATGCCAAGCATTATTAGCAATATTAATATTATTATTATAATGAAAACTAAGCACTAAACCACCAGGGTCATACAGCACTGATTATAAGCAATAGAGTAGCAGAGGATATCCCCTGCATCAAGATACCACTGTTGCTGTATCAGACAAATATCAGGATGGGTGACCTGTTTTTTTGGCATAGTATATTTTTATATAGCCAGACTTGAGTACTAGAAATGGGAAGTACAATGCCTGCACTTTAAAGGAGGGGTTTGGGATATTGGCAGTTTGGAGGGATACGTAGTGTATCTTCCTACGTATATGCTTCTAAACTGTTGTATTCTGAGCACCTCTGCAAAAACAGTGATTATGAGTGAGTGATGTGAAAGTGCTGAATGATGATGAAAGTATTTTCTTTTTGGGGATTTTCTTTCTTTTTGGGTCACCCTTCCTCGGTAAGAGACAGTCAACTTGTTAAAAAAAAAAAAAAAAAAAAAGGGTTACTAGCCCCGTGCTCCCAGCATGTTAATCGCCTCTTACGACACACATGGCTTATGGAGGAAGAATTCTGTTCCACTTCCCCATGGAGACAAGAGGAAATAAACAAGAACTAGTAAGAAAATAGAGGAAAACCCAGAGGGGTGTGTGTATATATATATGCTTATATGCTTGTACATGCATGTGTAGTGTCACGAAGTAGCAAGAGATACCTGAAATCTTGCATGTTTATGACATGGAAAAAAAAAAACACCAGCAATCCTACCATCATGTAAAACAATTACAGGGTTTCATTTTACACTCACTTGGCAGGACGATAGTACCTCCCTGGGTGGTTGTTGTCTACCAACCTACTACCACAGGATGGTAGTACCTCCCTGGGTGGTTGCTGTCTACCAACCTACTACCCTCATTGAGAAATTATTAAAATCAAAACTAAGTGCTAAACTAAATTTTAATTCTTATTATTTTCATCAAATCTGTAATTTGAAGTGTTCCATCATGAACTTTCAGAAGCAAACAGGCAGCATATTTGGGTCAAATAGTTTGGTCCTTTTTCATTTAGTTTGCATACTTTTGTATTCATTCAGTTAATTTTGATAATCTAATGATTGAACTTCTACAGTTGTCGGAGTGTGATGATGTTGTCTCAAAGCGCATCTACAAGCGCCAGTAAGGGAAGCAACAGCAACAGCAGCAGCAAAAAGATCAGCAACAACAGACAGAACAGCAGCACGACAGCAGCAGCATAAATCCATCATCCTTTGCCTCACTGTCTTGAGAACTTGCTCACTGCTCAAGATTCCTTCCTATGATCATCTTCTCATTACCTTAGATACTCTTTTCTGTCCAACATGAATGATCATATAAATACTGCATTTGTATTTTTTAATCACATTTTGCAACAATAAAAAATACAATCTAGACTATTAGCATTTACTAACAACCCATTCTTACAACTTTAGGTACAGTATAACAATGATTTAAATTTTGAATTATTAAATCCACCCATGTAACTGCTACATAATTCTCCTCATAATTTTTCAGCATTAATAAAAGTATTATATGTATAGTACAGTATATCAATTATTGAGATAAACTGACCACACTGATACATATAGCAGTCATGGACCATTATAAATACACTATATACTATATTAGTTTTTTATGTTTCAGAATGAATAAAGATTTTGAATAAAGCTGGTATTTAAATTAAACCATGTACCACTGTCTCTCCTAGATTAATGTACATACAACAAGTACAGTGGTACCTCGGGATAGGAATTTATTTCGTTCCAGAAGGCTGTTCGAGTGCCGATACCGAACGAATATGTTCCCGTAAGAAATAATGTAAATTAGATTAATCCATTTCAGACCCCCAAAAATACACTTACAAAAGCACTTACATAAATAAACTTACATAACTGTTCGAGTTGTGAGCTGTTCGTATCCCGAGGTACCACTGTATTTCTAAATTAACTGTTAATAAAGAACAAATAAAAATATCCAGCAAAAATAATGCTCTATGAGCTGTCTTTTTCATTATCACAAAATGCACGGGGAAAAAGCTGCTTATTACATTCGCTAGGAAGTGCCAGTCGTAATTATTAAATTCACAGAGAAAATTTAAACTCATAAAAATCACAGTATTTTGTTAATACTGGGCAGGAACAAATTCTAATCTTCACATAAAACTTTCGTTATCCAGCCTGTTTTATTAGAACATAATACTCCTAGAAAGGTCTATCAACACTTCAATTGTACACAATAATAATGTTCATAGGGATGCTTTTTAAAAATTTGGGGTAAAGTAATATGGGTTGGGTTTAAAAATTTCGCGCATTCCCATTTAAAAACAGCGAAATTCCCCCCTTTGACCTTTTAAATCAGGACTTTTTTGTCTCCAAAAAACCAGTTTCTAGCTAAAATCACTTATTGAAAATAGGCTTTTTCTTTTAAATAGGATTATAAGTTTTTTCGTATAAAATCAGCCCTACTGCCTAAAAAGTATCGAGCGCAATTCATCATCTTTTTTAGATTCGCAAATAAAATGAATGAAAGAGGGGACGGTTACTGGGAAAGAGATAGGCCAGTGGCTTTGGTAATTTAAAACATCCTCTTCATTAGTTTTAACATCTTTCTAAAAGATTATTTTTAATACCCAATAATGACCCTTTTTAAAGACAGAAGCACAATATGTGCGGGAATTAAATTTTCCAAAAATAATATCTTCTGAAGACAGAAGCCCACAAAATGGGCTGGAATAATTCAAAAATTAACCCATGCTTAGGTAAACAATTTAAACTTTTTTTTGGGGGCCCAGGTGGAGCTTTTTAAAAGCTTAACGATAATGGTCCAGGACAACACAAAAGTTTCATTGAGTTGGTAAATTTGCGAAATATTTAGGTAAAAGGACACAAGGTAACTAATGTGATATTTTATTGTGACAACATTACTCCCAGGGCTTTGCAAGCCTTACAAAGGGGTTGCAAGCTCCGGGGGCGAAATGTTGTCAAAAAAAATGTCAATTAAGCACGGTCCTTTTACCACATCCAAAAATTCCTAATTTCCTTCTAAGTAATGACTGTCTCTTGACTCAGAGCCACATGGATTTTTTACCATCGTGGGGTTTTGCTATTCTCTTAGCTGGGATTAATGCTGCAAACTAAAATTCACCCCCCTCGGTGGGAGCGCCGCTTGTTAAAAAAAAAAAAAAAAAAAAAAAAAAAAAAAAAAAACAGAATTAATCAAGATATTACATGTAACACAAGACAATAAAAAAATCCCATCTTATTTGTATCAAAATTGTAATAAGGTTGGGCACAAGTCTACCCTAATTATAATGAGTTATGAGGAGGATAAAACTGAAATGGAGCAACCTCTTTAAGGTCCCTCTTCAGGGATACCAATCCTTGAAGAACTCTACAGACCTGTATGTTACCTAGCCAGGAAGGTCCATTTCCTCACTGTTAAGGCCTAATACTACCAGCCCTCCCTGCCAAGTTGGGTCATGCTGATGAAATGATCAATGAGGAAGATAAAAGTAAGCCGGAGTGAAAGGAAACTGCCTCCCTGTCATTTCAATGGGATATGGAGGATAATGGTAATATATCATAGTTTGGGATATTGGCAGTTTGGAGGGGTATGTTGTGTATCTTTATACGTATATGCTTCTAAACTGTTGTATTCTGAGCACCTCTGCAAAAGCAGTGATAATGTGTGAGTGTGGTGAAAGTGTTGAATGATGATGAAAGTATTTTCTTTTTGGGGATTTTCTTTCTTTTTTGGGTCACCCTGCCTCGGTGGGAGACGGCCGACTTGTTGAAAAAAAAAAAAAAAACATATAATCACACCATAATCCAGTTAGTCAGAAGCTGTGTGTGTCATAAGAGGCAACTAAAATGCTGGGAGCAAGGGGCTATTAACCCCTTCTCCTGTATACATTACTAAAGTTTAAAAGAGAAACTTGTTTTTCTTTTTGAGCCACCCTGTTTTGGTGGGATATGGCCAGTTTGTTGAAAGAAGATGTATATAATCACACCATAATCCAGCCAGCCAGAATTCTTCCTCCGTAAGCTGTGTGTGTCATAAGAGGGAACTAAAATGCTGGAAGCAAGGGGCTAGTAACCCCATCTGTAAACATTACTAAATTTAAAAAGAGAGACTTTCGTTTTTCTTTTTAGGTTATCCTGCCTCAGTGAGATACAGCTGGTTAGTTGGAAAAAAAAAAACAATTAGTGTCAGGTCATGGGTATCAGCTATCTTGCAATATGTTAGCATCCCACACAAAGTTCTATTATACATTTATGGGGAAGCACTAAACCCGTAAGTCACACAGTGTCTAAGAGATAAAGCCAATCTGATGAAGGGAAGGATAGCTCTAATTCCTCAGATCACAACTCTTTCATCAGCATTAAGGCACCATCCCCCTTCCCTTCCTTTTGAAAGGACACCAAGCAATAAGAATGAACAACAGACATCTTAACTTGAGCTAGATAAATAAAATATTGTATCTGACAGCTATTACAATGTTTTAATATAATGTACATGATCAAATATAAGTACAAGTTTGCCTTTAGATAATGAAGGCAATATAAAAAGGGACCAAACTAATTATACAGGAGTAGATTTGGCTTCAAACTGTCCCATGTTTCTATTTAACATATAAAAAGACAAAAATTTTACACCATATATATAGTGTCAATGAGAGCATGTGATACAAAACATTAACCTCATATTAATATAATCAAAAGACAATCACTATATAATTAAAGCTGTGAACATTTGTCAATACAAGCTGTCTTCTTTATGCAGTCTAACATAAACTAGTTATCACATATACATTAAAAAGTCAGTACTAAATTAGCAATTACTAAATATTTTTTGGTTACTTATGAGTGTATATTCTGTGCAGTGTTGCATGGTGTCTAATCAATGTTGCCATTACAAATAACTTTATGGCAATAGAGGCAAAAAGGATATAAATATATTTAATAAATAACTGGGACAAAAATATTATATTTACAATAAGTATATTTTAAAAGTTTAAATATTTATACAAGAGTATGTACATGTGTCAGACATTGAGGTGATATTAACACAAATTCAGTGCTTTAAAAGAAAAATAATTTATTTCACACTTATTTTCAGAAAGTAATGCTTAGACATTTTCTCGTTAATCATATTTATCCATTTCCTACCAAGGCAAGTCAATATTTTCTGTATGTACAAAAAGTATTCATTGTGATAAAAAGGCTTGAGTATTGTCTGTTGCTGAAAGAGAAAAAATAAATTACCTTACCCTAAAAGTCTGTACATTAGTGTAAACCTGCACAATACTTCTTTAGGTATGTTTTATTAACCTCAAAATTAACTTACGTGATTTCTAAAAATATATTCATATACGCATAACATATTTTATCTAATGACTGGAATTTTGTAGTGTGTTTGTGTGTTATTCGTTCGTGAACTTCCCTTTATAAAACATACACTTCAATAAACTTTCCTTTATAAAATGTACACTTCAATAAACTCCTATACACAGCATTCATGAAGTTTCTACGATCTGTGGACGCCGGGCAAGGATGGATTCTTTACCATAGCGTCTCTGGGCTTCAACTAAAAATGAATTGACGTTTTTCCGCACAGCATCGCTGAAGAACACATGAGCCATCTGAGAGTGTATCATCGATCTGAACTCAAATGATACTGAGAAGTCAAGAGTGCAAGTGTCAGGCTGAAAAACAAACAGCAAAACTAATTTTAATTGTAATACCTATACAGGTCTACATTCCTTTATCCAAAATTCTGAAATTATAAAAGTTCCGAAAACCAAAGTTTTTTCGTGGAGTGTCAGCCACTGACAGCAGAGTGGCAGGCATCAGTTGTGTCTCAGCGCTTGTAGTGCTCACACGTGCATCTGCTGTTCGCTGATATTTTGTTTTTGCTTTTTATTTTGTGACTGTGTTTAATTTTACTGTGAAAATGTCAAAAAGAGCTTCAGATACCCCTATGGGTAACAGTGAGAAAAAGAAAAGGGAGCATCTGATGTTATCAATAACACAGAAACTAGAGTTACTACAGAAGCTTGAGTGTGGTGTGTCAGTGCGGCATCTTAATGAAGAAATGGTGTTGAATACAAATAAGCATGAGAAAAGTAGTGATGATGATGATGATGATGATGATGATGACATTGTGAACACAGGTGAAAAATTCCAGATAGACGATATGGTGAAAATGTGTGATCAGTTAAGTCTTTAAAAATGCCATTTGTCATAGTGCTGCTTCATCACTTGAGAATCATGTTCCTGGTCTATAATTATCCCATTACTATTTCATTTATCAATATATTACTCTATAAATAAACCATAGTAGTATTTGTAGTCTTTATTTATCCCACTTCATGTGAGTATTCATATGCTTTTGCTGCAGTGTTAATGTTTGATTATGGTGTGCTGCCCTAGACCCCCCCCCTTCATTCTGAAATTCGAAAAATTCTGAAATTCAAAATACTACTGGCCCCAAGGGTTTCGGATAAAGGAATGTGTACTTGTAATACACTTTACAACGCTTTGCTTTATGGTGTTTTGCTAATGTAGCGATTTTCAATTATACCCAATCTTCATTTATTCAGACTTTCTACAATAAATATATACACCATTCACCATAAACTAAGGACAAAAATATTTTAAGGTAGGTACAGGTTGACCATAACTAACTCAGCATCATCGGGACCTGTAGAGTGCCGGATTAGCAATTTTGCTGGATTACAGAGTTGTTAGGTTAGAATATACTTAACCCAATGGCGATATTCTCACATCAGCAATTTCAGCCAAGTTACGCTCTATTTTTGCCCATTCCATTGTTCCAGTCTACCAAACTCATAGTTATTTTGCTAGTATTTCTTCTATTCTGTCGACTGAGTACAAGAAACCGCCATTTACCTATTTCAACTACCCAATAAAGTGATCAGAAATCAGTAATTACACCTATTTCACACAAATTTCAAGAGATGCCAATTTCAAAATAGGGTTCAGAATAAACAATGCAGACATTCCTAACAAAAACAAAAGATTTACTGTTATGCAGACTATTGTATTGTTGTAATAACTGTATAAATAATGTCAACCCATCTGTGACTGTGTATTAGACTGGCCAGTTAGACATGTATTGGATGGTCATGTCATTTGTTTACACTTGAACATCGGCAAAAATAAAACATTTCCGCTATTATGAGCTCTATTTTAAGGTAATTTCCAGTGTGAAACCAATAAAAATTATATCTATTTCTGTAATATATCTTCCATTCTATCAAATGAGACCCCCCCCAAAAAAAAGAATACAACCATACAAACCAGACGAAAATACACCACAAAGTTGCTTTTACACCAAAAGCACAGTCGCTGTTTTTTCCATTATGCACTACATGCTGCAGGATTTTTATTCTATAGTGCACACTTACCACACAGACCTATTCTTTCACATGTAGGCCCAAATTTACCGATCAGAGCTTAACTGAGTGAGCCGAGCTCATGGCGACTGACAGTGGCTTCAAAGTCACCTTATCTTTTATGGACAATATATGGTGCATGTGCTTTACACAATAAGAAGCATTTCTTTCATTTGTTGGAACCATGGCTGGGGCTAAAAGTGAGCAGATTATAACAATAAATGGAGAAAAAGAAATTGGAATGATGTATGCAGCAAGTAGCGGCAGGTTGGTGTGGCGACCCCAGAAATTTGAAATTATGCTAGCCAAAATTAGTGCCAGATTACTTACTGCCCAATTAGTGATGGCCAACCTGTAATGTGTGTACTGTATATGCAGTTTTTAGGCCTAGCTCTACTGCTCACTTAATATATGATAGTGTAAACATGTTATCAGACTTTTATACACATTTGAAAGTGAAAAAATGGCCTTTTCACTTTACAGTCATAGCCTGGAACCTAACCCTGGTTATCCTGGGTAATTTTATTCATTCAAAAACTATGTAAAACTGACTCTAAATAAACTTTTCACTGACAAATTATCAGTAACTCACCTGCCCATGAATTCCTGGTGAAAATTTCCAAATTGTTAAGAGATGATTAAATAATTTGCCTTCGGTGCAGACAGCCCTCACCAGGTGTGGCCGTGCCAGTGTAACACTCGAAGTATACGATTCGACCACAGGGGGGAACCCAACCACAAGGTCAGCCTAAAACAATTACGTAACATAGCATTTGAAGAAAAAAGTAAGTATGAAGATGCATTACAGTGCTGTATATTTTATTTTTCATTAAAAAAACAAATTCCAGCAAAAGTGGTTTGATGCATATCATTTTTTTACTGACTCACGAAATCGTAATGACACGATTGCAAACAAACCATACCCCGGCCGGGATTGAAGCCGCGGTCATAGAGTCTCAAAACTCCAGCCCGTCGCGTTAGCCACTAGACCAGCTAGCCACAATAAGATTTGTCCAACTAGGTATATTTCTACGCCATAGGAAGGTTAGCACAGGCACCACTGTGACCACAAATGCAAGTTTTTACAGACGAATCTCCAGCTAGCGTGGCCGTGACGAACTCTAGCTCAAGTCCCTTCACTGCCGTCAACATGACTCACGAAATCGTAATGACACGATTGCAAACAAACCATACCCCGGCCGGGATTGAACCTGCGGTCATAGAGTCTCAAAACTCCAGCCAGTCGCGTTAGCCACTAGACCAGCTAGCCACAATAAGATTCGTCCAACTAGGTATATTTCTACACCATAGGAAGGTTAGCACAGGCACCACTGTGACCACAAATGCAAGTTTTTACAGACGAATCTCCAGCTAGCGTGGCCGTGACGATTTCGTGAGTCATGTTGACGGCAGTGAAGGGACTTGAGCTAGAGTTCGTCACGGCCACGCTAGCTGGAGATTCGTCTGTAAAAACTTGCATTTGTGGTCACAGTGGTGCCTGTGCTAGCCTTCCTATGGTGTAGAAATATACCTAGTTGGACGAATCTTATTGTGGCTAGCTGGTCTAGTGGCTAACGCGACGGGCTGGAGTTTTGAGACTCTATAACCGCAGGTTCAATCCTGGCCGGGGTATGGTTCATTTTTTTACTGGGATGACAGTAGTTTTTAAGCATTAAGATTAGTTTCCCTGAAATGCACTGCATGCTAGTGGCTTTCTTTTATACCTAACAATATTTTATTACATGTAAACTCCATTACCTGTATACTACAGAAAAAATAAATTATTTGTATTTGAATTTAACAATACAGATATGCATCACCTTGCTAACCGTGTCGGAACTTTTAGATTAAGTTTTACAGTATACACAATGTACATTAAACCCTCAGGTTAGCAAACTAATAGGGATAAAGAGGTTATTGATAATGCCAATTGTGGTGGATGGAGCCAAGATCATTTTGCCATGATCAAAACAACAATGGACAAAGTCATAAACAACGGATAGAGTACGTTGTTCCAAATTAAATGACCCAGCAGACTTTGTCCTGTACTTCTGAAGTCCAATAAATAGAGGACTGTACCACCCACATAATTTTATGGGGTACTTCTATTATTTGCCAGTTTTCATGATGCTGTTCAATACTAATTAACATCCTACTTTTCAAAGTTAATGATGTACTGCACAGATACTTTCTCTCCGTGTTTACAAATGCATTTATAACTAGCATTTTCAAGATGAAAATTTAGCCTTTAAAATCCCATTCTTACATAATGCACAGATTATTTCCCTTTTGCACTCTAGGTAATGGGAAGCATTTAAACATGAATTAAGAGCATCACTGACATCAAGGCATTTCCTTTGAAGGCAAAGTGGCTACAGGGAAAACCACTCTCTGACTAACCTTAAGGAATCCTGGTCTTCTTGATGTCACCTGAGATTTTTTGCAATAAGGAACAAACTTATGATAATGTTCCACTTCAGATACCACATCAAACATCTGGTTCATGGAGTACCTGTGAGTGGAATACTATGTTTATTTTTTTTATTAACACATTGGCTGTATCCCACCGAGGCAGGGTGACCTGAAAAAGAAGAAACATTTTCATCATCATTCACTCGATCACTGTCTTGCCAGAGGGATGCCTACACTACAGTTAAAAAACTGCAACATATCAACACCCCTTCCTTCAGAATGCAGCACTGTATTTTCCACCTCCAGGGGTTGCTGGTTTCCCTAAATCCTTCACAAATGTTACTTTGTTTGCATCCCAACAGCACATAAAGTCATAAAAACCATCTGTCTCCACTTACTCCTATCTAACACACTCACACACACTTGCTGGAAGTCCAAACTCCTCACACACAAAACCTCCTTTATCCCCTCCCTCCAACCTTTCCTAGGCTGACTCCTACTCCGCCTTCCACTACTGTTTTATAAGTCTCCAAGTCATTTTATTTCATTCCAGCCTCTCAATATGTCCGAACCACCTCAACAACCCCTCCTTAGCCCTCTGGATACTACTTTTAGTAACTCTGCATTTCCTCCTAATTTCCAAACTACAATTTTCTGCATTATAATCACACTGCACATTGCCCTCAGACATGACATCTCCACTGCCTCCAGACTTCTCATTGTTGCAAAATTCACTACCCATACTTCACACCCATATAAGAGTGTTGGTATAATTATACTCTCAAACATTCCCCTCTTTGCTTCCATGGATAACATTCTTCGTCTCCAGACTCCTCAGTGAACTACTCACCTTTTTTCCCTCATCAATTCTAAGATTCATCTCCCAAATATCTGAATACATTCACTTCCTCCTTACTCCCTCCCTTCATCCAATCTGATATCTAGTCTTTCATTACCTAAATTTTTTGTTATCCTCATCACCTCACTCTTTCCTATGTTCACTTACAATTTCCTGCTTTTACATACCCTATTGTCCAGCAACCTCAGCAATTCCTCTTCAGAATCTCTCAAAAGCACAGTGTCAATAGCAAAAAGCTACTCTGACAACTCCCACTCTGTGTTAGATTCATTATCTTTTAATTCCATACCTCTTGCCAACACCCGTGTATTCACTTCAAAGAAAGAGGAGAGTACAAGTTTAAGGATCAACATGGGTCTTAAGTATAGTCTATGTGTATCTGTAAACCCATGTGGGTCCTTTAGCAAAAGTAGTAGTGGAAGCTCCATCTTCTGTCTGCTGAACACAAGAAAAACACATTATCACCCTCTAGTGGAAGTGGAGAGACAGTCATGAGAGGGGTCAGGATGATAGGTTTTAATGGAATAAAAAATAAGTCAGTAGACAGCTTTCCTCCTGAAGATGGGACTAGAAATTGGATATCATTCCATACACACACACTTATGAAAATATCTAAATCCTTAAGTATAGTTTGCATTAGAAAACAACAATTTTCATATTAATAACTTTGACTACCACATAATTATTTAACGAAAAGCACTTTTTAGTACATTATATCTTACACGGAATTCGATTTATAGAACTTATTGTTAAAAAAGACAAAATGTTTAATATGCTTAAATAACAAGAACTAAACAACAAGATACCCAAGAACACGTCTCTCTGAATATTCCTTCTTCTTTCCACCAAGGACGCCTCCCATGAGTCTGCGTTCTGGAAGAAGGCATGGCCAGGAAGGGCAGGGCTGCAGTAGCGGACGATTTTCTACAAAACTTACTCTCCTTTCCTCTATTTTTGTACTCTTTGAATGCCATGCCTTTACCTGGCGCGTGCTGCGCATAAAACAGAGAAAATATAAATTGCAGTAAAAGCTGCTCAAAAAATACAAACTGTCAACATGGTTTTGGTTTCAAAAACAGTGATTATTCTTGAAATACATACCATACCTACTGTAAGAGTTCTCGTTACTTATAGTAGCATTTTAACCCATTTAACAGCCACTCTTGATGCTGGTGAGGGGGTTCTTGATCTAGGGAATTGGACCTGTGCTCCAATTCCTTGAGCCAAGCCCGAATGCCTTCCATTTCCCCAGGCACTGTATGACTCATACGGATTTGTTTCCCCCCATGAATGTAATAAAATGCAGACCCTCAATGTATGTAATGGAATAACAGAGAGGAGTGTCTGAGTGTTAGTGAAGTCAGAATACTGTAAAGTTAAAATATAACACAAAAAGCACTACTTTACTATATACACCTAATATAGTACTGTACACACAATTTACAGATAAACTACAATAAACATTGAAAATAAAGTGGGTAAAAGTACAATTTAACCAGTGGATTTTGCCAATAATTTAAAAAATACATTATATCGAGGGCCACTGTGACTTGCAGCAGTGCTCCTAACATAATTCAACAGAGTGCGAGCAGGAAGCAAAGCCTGCACAAAAAGGCACAATATATGATATGGCTCATTTGGTTTAAAGTGCACAGTAGCTACAGACCCCACTTCACTGCTGTGAAGTGGGGTCTGTAGAAGGTGGTGATGCCCTAGTGTCAGCTGTATAAGTACTGCAGGGTAAAAATAGAGCAATCTGTTACATATGCCCGAGAATTCCCCATGCAACCATCATCTACTGACAACTCTGCAACGACATTAACACGAGAACCACAACTATTTACTACGGCCCAAGAACCACAACCATCAACCTTAGCCCAATAATCCCAGTCATCCACCTCAGGCCAGTAGAGCCACACCAACACTCTCCAATCATGCCAAAACCAACAGGTATCACAAACTGGAATTTAAGGAAAAAACAAATTGTTTTACTTGGTTAAGTAAGGCACGTGCTTAAGTTAGATATCCTTATTATGAAGCGTTTTGCCTACAAAGTAGGCTTCTTCAGACAAACAGAAAGGAGATTAATATGGAGACAGCAGAAGTGGTGGAGAAGTAAAGATGTGATCAGTTCATCACCTTTGAGCTTATCAGTCCCTCAGCCTGGTGATGTGATCAGCAAGATTATCATTATATTCATGGGGAACAAATGCTCAGGTAGCATCAGTGAGGCAAGAACTTTGAGTAGCTTAGATTGGACAGGTACATGAGTGGGTGTAGATGGGTGAGAGTTGGACCTGCTTAGTAAGGGCCAACAGGTCTACTGCAGGGTTCCTTTATTTTTGTGTTCCTGAAGAACTAAATCCATATGGGTCATACAGCACATTGGTCCAGCCCCTTTTTTGCCATGCCACACCCTCTTGTCTGTTATATATACTCTGCCTGTGGTTATCATGGTAGGACTGAAGAAATTTAAAACGACTTTGGAGTAAACACTTAAGAAGGACTATTTAAAAATGGTCCAGTCCTGGGATCCTGATTGCTTGTGGTTAAAAGGGATCAAAGTCCCAGGACCAAAATCTTTTCTAGTAAATATGTCCTAGTTCTTGCTCACACAGCTTTTTACACTACATTTTGGTATCAATTACCATCCTTTATACAGGTAACAGGACTCAAGAAACTCTTTATGCTGAAGCATATCCTCCTTTGATATACCTTTGATATACCTTTGAAAATTTTCGAGAGTATATCTACTCTCTGAGCCCGGCCATGGGCCAGGCTCATCTGGTGCTTGCCTGGTCAACCAGGCTATTGCTGCTGGAGGCCTGCTGCCCCACATATCCATCACAGCCTGGTTGATCTGGCACCTGGTGAAGATACTTGTCTAGTTTCCTCTTGAAGGCTTCAACACTTGTTCCAGCAGTGTTTCTGATATCTTCTGGTAAGATGTTGAAAAGTCTGGGACCACAGATGTTGATACAGTGTTCCATTATTGTCCCCACCGCACCCCTGCTCCTCACTGGGTTTATTTTACACTTCCTCCCATATCTCTCACTCCAGTATGTTGTTATGGCAGTGTGCAGATTTGGGACCAAGCCCTCGAGTACCTTCCAGGTATATATTATCATGTACCTCTTTCTCCTCCGCTCCAATGAGTACATGTTCAAGACTTGCAGGCGTTCCCAGTAGTTTAGGTGCTTTACTGGCTCAATGTGAGCCGTAAACGATCTCTGTATTTGTTCCAGCTCCGATATTTCTCCTGCCCTGAATGGGGCCGTCAGCACTGAGCAATATTCTAAGTGAGGGAGCACTAGTGATTTGAAGAGTGTCACCATCGGCATTATTTCCCTTGTTTTGAAAGTTCTCAATACCCACCCAGTCATCTTCCTGGCTGTCATGATCTTTGTCTTGTTATGATCTTTAAAAGAAAGGTCCGCTGACATAATTATTCCTAGGTCTTCTACGTGTTCCTTATGTTCTATTTGGTGACCCTCTTGAGTTTTGTATATAGTGCTCCTTTTGAGTTCTTCAGGTCCGATCTATACAAGGGGAGGATAGCACCAATTTTATGAATCAAGAGCCCATCACTTGCATCAAGTGCCCCCTTCCCCCTACACTCTATGAAGCTACCAAACCAGAGCTGAACACTTAAATTGTAGCTTTAAAAATATTTTAAGAAATTATGTGAGTGGGTATGAGTAAGACCTACCTAATATGATCCCAAAAAAACTGATTAGTATGAGCCAGTTGGACCTGTCTAGCAAGAACAAGTAGGACCTGCCTAGCAAGAACTAGCAAAACCTGACTAATATGAGTGAGTAGAACCTGCCTAGTATGAGCCAGTAGGACCTGCCTAGTATGAGCCAGTAGGACCTGCCTAGTATGAGCCAGTAGGACCTGCCTAGTATGAGCCAGTAGGACCTGCCTAGTATGAGCCAGTAGGACCTGCCTAGTATGAGCCAGTAGGGCCAGCCTAGTATGAGCCAGTAGGACCTGTCTAGTATGAGTCAGTAGGATCTGCCTAGTATGAGCCAGTAGGACCTGTCTAGTATGAGTCAGTAGGACCTGTCTAGTACGAGCCAGTAGGACCTGCCTAGTATGAGCCAGTAGGACCTGCCTAGTATGAGCCAGTAGGGCCAGCCTAGTATGAGCCAGTAGGACCTGTCTAGTATGAGTCAGTAGGATCTGCCTAGTATGAGCCAGTAGGACCTGTCTAGTATGAGCCAGTAGGACCTGTCTAGTATGAGCCAGTAGGACCTGCCTAGTATGAGCCAGCAGGACCTGCCTAGTATGAGCCAGTAGGACCTGCCTAGTATGAGCCAGCAGGACCTGCCTAGTATGAGCCAGTAGGACCTGTCTAGTATGAGCCAGTAGGACCTGCCTAGTATGAGCCAGTAGGACCTGCCTAGTATGAGCCAGTAGGACCTGTCTAGTATGAGCCAGTAGGACCTGCTTAGTGTGAGCCAGTAGGACCTGCCTAGTATGAGCCAGTAGGATCTGCCTAGTATGAGTCAGTAGGATCTGCCTAGTATGAGCCAGTAGGACCTGCCTAGTATGAGCCAGCAGGACCTGCCTAGTATGAGCCAGTAGGACCTGCCTAGTATGAGCCAGTAGGACCTGTCTAGTACGAGCCAGTAGGACCTGCCTAGTATGAGCCAGTAGGACCTGCCTAGTATGAGGCAGTAGGACCTGTCTAGTATGAGCCAGTAGGACCTGCTTAGTGTGAGCCAGTAGGATCTGCCTAGTATGAGCCAGTAGGATCTGCCTAGTATGAGCCAGTAGGATCTGCCTAGTATGAGCCAGTAGGACCTGTCTAGTATGAGCCAGTAGGACCTGTCTAGTATGAGCCAGTAGGACCTGTCTAGTATGAGCCAGTAGGACCTGTCTAGTATGAGCCAGTAGGACCTGCCTAGTATGAGCCAGTAGGACCTGTCTAGTATGAGCCAGTAGGACCTGTCTAGTATGAGCCAGTAGGACCTGTCTAGTATGAGCCAGTAGGACCTGCCTAGTATGAGCCAGTAGGACCTGCCTAATATGAGCCAGTAGGACCTCTCTAGTATGAGCCAGTAGGACCTGCCTAGTATGAGCCAGTAGGACCTGTCTAGTATGAGCCAGTAGGACCTGCCTAATATAAGCCAGTAAGGCCTACACAGTATGAGTTAGTAGGCCTATGGATGTAAAACAAAAAAAAAGACATTTTAATCACTTTATTTTGGGCCAAAAACCCATCCAGTGGGCAAAAATATTACAGGACAACGTTTTACCCACACAATAGACTCTATGAAGTTATAAACAGATTTAATGAAGCCCACCATGGGCGAAACGTTGTCAATTATGAATAGCATTATACTGCATTTTTTTTCCTTATGCTGGTATTTTAGTCACGAGAGGGAGCGCTAAACCTGTAGGTGTCGTACAGCGCCTGGAGGGATGGGAAGCATTCAGGTTCGATCCAAGGAAGGGGAGCACAGATCCAATACCTTGGATCAAGAGCCCCTCACCGACATCAAGGAGCCTCCCTCGAGGTGGGGTCATTTTATACCATTGCCCGAAGTACTCTGCGTCCTATGGGTTTTATGATTATTGCATATTTTGTAAATTTAGTGACTGAAATACAGAATCTAAATCAAAATCTAATTTGTCCACTGATGCAATATCTATCCCATTCTGGCCGGCACCTGCTGTCATATAATAACCTGCATTAGTTACCTCATAAGTGTCCTGGTGGCACCGCCCATATACCCGAGGGCGGCTCTCTGTGCCAGCTTCATATTTCGACTTATATATATGAGTAAATTACATTAATTTTAAGTTTCGTATTAAGAGCTCCGGAAAACAGCTGATGGTTGTTGTTGTTGGAGGCCTTAAGGGCAGCAACAGCCAGAGCTGTACTGAACCCTGTCTCCCAGTGTCCAGGAATATTGTAAGTAAGTAAGTAAGTAAGTAAGTAAGTAAGTAAGTTCATTCAAGTATACGCAAATACAGTTACATAGATTATCATACATAGCAGCATATGTGTATAGAACCTGGGATAACCCAAAAGAGTCAGACAGAGTAAATATTTCCATTGGGGTCCTTTACTTATTTTCATTGGAGTCCTTGACCAAATTTTGGGGTAAAAAGCAATAGATGAAAAGTAAAAGATGGAAATCCGACAACTTGTAGTTGATAACAACACATAAGATGTAATTGGAAACTTTAGTTAGAGGTTGTATCACCTGTATGGCAAACTTTATCAAGTTTGATAAGACAAGACTTGTCAGTATTATTTGTCATTAATAAAATGAAATCAGATTTGATAAAGACTGTTGTACAGGGAAACGTTGTTTAAATAAATTTTCTAATCGTTCCATGTCTGTTTTTAAGAACCTAAAGTATTTTGTTTTTTTAGCAGTGAGGGTGGACCCAATGGAAATGTCACTCTGTCTGACTTTTTTGGTTATCCTAGGGTTTCTACACATATGCTGCTTTGTATGATTATCTATGTACTGTAACTGTATTTGTGTATACCTGAATAAACTTACTTATTTACTTACTTATTCCCAGAGATCTAGGAGAGCCGGACACATGCATCCTATCTGAGTTAGTTACCGAGACTCTTCTAAAGCCGTATAAAATTCGCAAAGCTAAAAAAAAAAAAAAAAAAAGAGCCGATACTTAGTTCAGTTTGTAATACAGTTGGTAGAATTACCGACAATATGTAAAGTAAAAGGACACAAATGCAACTAATGTGACTTTTTATTGTGGCAACGTTTCGCTCTCCAGGAGCTTTATCAAGCCATTACAAACAATACATGTATGTATGTACAATGTTCGCCAAGACCGTAGTCCGGGCACGGGTCTCAATCTTGCGATGACCCGTCTCTGGCTCCCGAGGGAGAAAGGTTTCTACAATGATGCGACATATGCTGTTCAAGCACTCTTCTGGTCAGTTCAACTGGTGCATCTCATAAGCGACAACACGGTATGTACTCCTAACTATGGACACTAGCGAGGAGGAGGATATGTAGTTATCACAGGTAACAGCTTGTCTGGTTCGTTGACTCCATGGTACACTAGTGTGGTCGCAGTCATCTCTGGTTCCTCTTCGGGAGGGAATATCACTCCTAGTTGCCTGCGGAGTGTCTCAGTAACTTCGCACTCCAGAAGATAGTGTGTTAGGGGCCGCTGGACAATGTGCTGACAGTACTGGCACATCTCCTCCTCAGCCTTGTCTACCATCATCTTGGCTGTGGGAAAGCCCAAACGAAGCCGATGGATGGCGGTACACTGCGCTCTGGACCAGCTTCTATCATATGGAGGGGGTTCTCCCTGAGTCGCTGCTCGGTACCACTGTTGAGATGGGGTATCACCTAAGACCTCCCCCATAAGTTTCATGGCTTTGGCAGCTACCAGTTTGGTCTGTCGTAGGCTGATTGGGACAGTAATCCCAACATGTGGATAGTCTGTTGCTGCCTTGGCTGCATCATCTGCCGCCTCATTTCCCCGGATGCCAGCATGGCTGGGGATCCAGTTCAATGTCGATCTGTTACCCTGAACTTCTAAGGCTGTCATTATGCTCAGGATCGATGTGATGAGGTGAACATTGTCCTGTGGTTGAGGATGGGAGAGGGCATTGATTGCAGACGTAGAATCAACATGTATGACAGGTCGGAGTCGATGTCGTAGGGCATGTGACAATGCCTGCTGAATCGCCACCAGCTCAGCTTGAAGGATCGTGCAGTGGTCAGGGAGTCGCCAGCCTTGTGTGTGACCATTGTGGTACACTCCAGCTGCTGTTCTCTTCCTGTCAGGGTCGACAGAACCATCTGTGAAATACACTGCACATGTGCCTCCCTCTGCCAGTGCCATGCTTGTCTCAGCATGATTGCTGAGAGTGTCTTGACTGCAGAGACGCTTAGAGATGGGTAGCTGCATGATGCAAACATCGGCTGGATCTGGGCGCCAGGGAGGTGGTGGATGGTACCCAGCAACAGGAAGGTCACAACTCTTCTCAAGGAGTAGTTGTATAGGCAGCAGCTTCCGCCCAGCAGCACAAAACGAACGAATCCAGGAGTAGTCCGTGAAGAGTGAGGGATCTTGTGCCATGGTTGTCAATATCCGTCTCCTTAGTGGGGTACCTTGCTGCCTGTGCAGAATCGTGGCCACTTTGCAGGCGTTTATGTATCTTACTCTGTCAGCCAAGGAAGGAAGCCGGGCCTCAGATCTGAGACATACTGTGTTGGTCCAGATGGGGGCCCCAAGCATAGTTCTTATCGCCTGATTTTGTACGACCTCCACTCTTTGCCTGCTCTGCGGGAAGAGATGAGCTAACGCCGGTGCACCGTAGTCAATGAGCGAGCGTATAGCTTGTATATAGTACAAGCGAAGTACATCTTTGCTTGCCCTGCACGGTGCCTCGTCATGGCTCTCATGGCGTTGAGTCTGAGTAGAGCACGTGACCTGACATACTCGGCCTGTTTCTGAAAGGTCAGCTTTTTATCAATGTAGATTCCCAAGTACAGGAAGGAGCCTGTCCACTCAAGTTCTATATCCTGAATACGTAATCTATTCACAGGATCTGGTCCCTTGAACATCTTGCAAGAGATTTCTCAGCCGAGATCTTGAGGCCTAGTTCCCTTGCAAGACTGCGTAATTGGTCCAAAGCTCTCTGAGCCTGTCGTTCTAAATTGCCTTTTCCCATTCACTACGAGTGCAAGATCATCAGCATAGCTGAGGAGCTGTGTACCACTATGAAAGGGAAGGCTCACAAGTTCCTGCATAAGAATGTTAAACAGGGTAGGACTGAGCACACCTCCTTGTGGCGTACCGTTTTCCAGGGATTTAAAGGAAGAGTAGTGTCCCTGAAAGCTGACACAGGCCTGCCTGCCCCTAAGGTAGGACTCTATCCAGGCCAGGAGGCGTCCTTTGATATCCTTTTACTCATGTACGAATCAATTGCTCTACCATATTGTATTACTTTTGTCACTACTACTACTACTACTACTACCACTAGTGAACATCGAAATGGTACCTCACTAGTATTGCCCCTCACTCTGAGCCTTTATATACCCTCTGTGTCAATGTATTGTTTGTAATGGCTTGATAAAGCTCCTGGAGAGCGAAACGTTGCCACAATAAAAAGTCACATTAGTTGCATTTGTGTCCTTTTACTTTACATACTTAGTTCAGTTGCCAATATGACGCCGTCGAGGTAAAAGCAGAAATGTAAACATAAGAATGTCGGAACACTACAGTAGGTTTACTGGCCCAAGCTAGGAGGTCCGACTCATACCTAGATATACCTACTCAGACACCCGTTCCAACCATCATTTAAAGCTGGCCTAAGTTGTTCTTGCCTCAATGACGTTACTTGGGAGTTTGGTCCACTCATCTACAACTCTATTGCCAAACGAGTGCTTCACAATATAGGTTCAAAATCTAAACTTGTCCAACTTGAATTCATTTCTGGAAGTCCTGTCTTGGCTAGATATTTTCTGTGTGTGTGATGAATGGTTTGAAAAACCGACAAGTTGAAGATTGAGACACTTATGCAGCATATGGGAATCTTTATTCAGGAAACGTTTCGCCACACAGTGGCTTCATCAGTCAGGTTATTCACATCTTTATCCCATATTTCCATTTATACACTTCAGTCATATCTCCTTTAATCTTACGTCTTTCCAGAGTGTGCAAATAAGCCTTCAACATGTCTTTTTAGGAAAGGCTTCTGATGAAAACTTAGACACACATGCAACATCTGGGTATCTTTATTGTAGATGTTTCGCCATCCAGTGACTTTATCAATACAGATTCTAGGACATAATTTGAAGACAGTAGAACTATATACAAAAGATGAGGTAATCAATCCCTCAGCCTTGGAGTTGGTGTTAAGAGCACCGTAGTTTAAAGATTCTGGAGAAAGGGGGTCAGGAGCGGGCAACCAAAGTCCTAGTTTCTCTTGTCTCTGTCGAGTGGTTTACAGACTTTGAGTTTAGATATTACCTATTTTGTTGGTCATTCGGGGAAAAGGGGACAGCTGTTAAAACTTATTCTGCTTCTATGTAGGGGGAAGATCCCTCCTTCTAAAGTGTTTCAGTGGTGAATTGGCCCTTCAAGGGGGCAAGGTCATTTATAATGTAAGTAGTACGGGCACAGTGCCACGATCTGACAAAACCACTAATCAGCGTCGAAAAATAGAGACCGCTGCCTCAATACGTCAATAAAATTGCGGATTCACACATGCCCTGAAAAAAACGTGTCCACAGGCTTCTATAGACTAATAACACTCCGACAACTAGAGGATGAAATTGGAGTGAAGGGGGGGTTCCCGGGGAGGACACCAGGTTGCCCTCCTCCTGCTACACTTTATAAGCATTACCAAAACCATTTAATATGCCCAGCGTGTAAAAACCTTACGATTGGTGTTTTTTTTGGATAACGAAATAAAATGTTACTAGGGGTCAAAAGGCAATTAAAATGCTCTACTCTTAAAATACTCCCAAAATTTCCCTTCTAAACTTTAGCACCCTATTTCAACCCTTTTTTTTTTTTTTTGTTTTTGTAGGGGAAATTAGTTATAACACTGTGGGTAATGAATTTCTCAAGAACCTCTAAAGACGTGTGTGAAAAACACACGAAAGCACTGTTTTTTTTTATGTACACTTACATGGGAAATCTGGAAAAAAAGAGGGGACATGCAACTATACCACCCTAGAAAATCCATCCCCATAGGGACAACAGGAAAATGCAACCCCCTTCCGGAAGCTTTTCCCCCCTGAAAATTGTACCTCTTCGTCAGGAAAGACTGTCTATAACTAAATTGCCAGGCATACCATCAAAAGGGGGACAAAAAATAAAAAAATCCGGGCAGGGGGAAAACCCGGGGTACCACACCCACTCAAGGGG